TTCCTTGTGTACCTGAATTGAAGTAAAGCCAACTGAAGTTATAATTATAACAAGCCCAGGTTGCAAGGGAAATTCAAGCCAAATATGCCATGGGTAAGTGGATTTGATAGTTCTCGGAGAAACTGGAATCACATTCATTCAGAGGCCTCTTAGGAAAGTTATGATTTAAATCAGAATTACAGTCTAGTTGCCAGATTAAAACTTTTTAGAATAACAAATAAAAGTGTGTTTAAGTAGAAAGTAAAATTGGCAAGCATTAAATAATTTAAAATTATAAAAAAAAATCGTTTAAAAACCCCGCCAGTCGCAGATAAAATCATTCAATTATTGGCCTAGTTTTTATGCTTATTTCATCTCCCTACTTCCTTAGTTAAATTTTAGACTAAATTCAACTTTTTGAGGAATAAGTAAGTAAGTTATAGCAGCTACTTTTCTCCCAGTGGCCAGACACTCGGCTACTGACTGTCTATCCATGGCTGAAGCTGGCGCCAGTCAACCATTTGGCTAATTGTCTGCATTTATCAAGCGCCAAACAAGGCAAGGCAAAAAAGCGCATAGAATTTATAACAATTGTTTTACAATTTTCCAGTGACAAAGGAAAATCACTTAGAGAGGCATTGTCGTGTGTCTGTGTCTGTGTCTGTGCGTTACTTTTATACTTTTATTTTTTTGGCCGCGGCGCCATTTCTATTTAATATTGTGGAAATTAGAGCAGCGATCTGGCGGAAATATTTAGCCAATTGGCAACATAATTTAAGGGCAGTACCCGTTGCAGCCGCCTTGATTTATGCTGCAGCTTTTTCTTTTCCCTTACTCGGTGACTTTTCCTTTTTTCTCTGTTTTATTTTTATTTTTGCCCCTCTCAAAACTTTGCACTTCACATGTGTGAGTGTGTGTGTGTGTGTGTTTGTGTGAAATTGTGCACTAATTTGCAGTTAGTTTAATAAATTTTCCACTGCGCCACATGCGTGTGCGCAAAAGTTTGGCGAGTGCGGGTCGCAAACTTTTAATTTCTTGTTTGGCAAGCGGCATTGTGTCATAAATTTTTACCGCTCCACCGGGCAGAGAAACTACACGAAGAAAAACTGCAGCTTTTGTAGAATTTTTAGATTAATTTATATAGAAATTCAACTATTTGTGGACTTTAATACAGTTTTTTTCTCACTGCATAGTGACCCAGTGTGTGATAATTGTATTGGTAATTATTTCCCACTGACTTAACGAGGCCTAAGCTGGGCTCATAAATAAAATCCAGTATGCAGCCAAACGGCAATTAAGTCAAGGAAACAGTCGACGCTCGATAAGAAGGTTGTCGCCTTTTTTCCCCTTTCCACCGATTTTACTGCTTTCCTATGCAAATGAGTTGCAATCAGCGAAAAAAAAGGAAATATAACGGCCACCGAGTGCAAGGGCCATAACAATAGCGAAGTGAAGAAAAAATGTTAACACGAATTAGCCAGAAAGTGTGCAGAGATGCGAGATGGCAACAGGAAGCGGATGCAATAAACTATGCACCAGCAGCCATAAAAAAGGAGACCCGGGACGTGCCGCCCCTATTGAGAGTCCTTCGAGGAGCTATAAGAGTGCAAGCTTGCACTAGAAGAAATAAGTCCAAGAAGTATATAAGAAAGAGCTTATACAAAAATTTATTTATTATAACGTATATCTTAGTAGCCATTCAGAAATATCCTTTAACATTGGCTTGAATATTTTTATGTTAAAGAATTTTGTTCTTAAAAACTTCTCCCTGTGTATAAATGAAAAAAGGATTGCAATAAAAGCGAAAACAGCGGTGGCGAAGAAAAACAGGAATTAGATGGCAGAAGTGGGCGGCTGGAAGTGGGCCACTTGAGCCGGGTTGTCTAAGCACTTGATCCTTTACTATATATACATATATATATATCTGCCATATTCTCCATTCTGATGTGACACATTTCCAACAATTGCCACAAGTCAGACTAACGATATGTGACACTTGCCCACAAACACACGCACAAACACTTGCCAACAAACATTGGGATTATGCAAATGAAGTAAGGGGCCCTTTGAAATTCATAAACATTTAATATTTTATGGAGCATTCATGAACATTTAGGCGGCACTGCAAGTGTCGAATACATGCGTATGTATGAGTGTGTGTGTGTGTGTGAATGGCAAAAACAATTGCCTCGTGTTGTTGCCATTGTTTGTTGCTTTGCCTGAATGTTTATTTGTTGTTTTTCCACCAGCACTCAAGGCAGGCAATATATATAGTAAATGTGTAGAAATGCACAGAGAGAAATGTTTAAGTCTAACTTGGAAGTAAATTTGGCTGAAAATCTCTAACTTTTAGTTTATAGATTGCCAAAGATTGCCAAAAAATGAATTATATATCTTCATAGTCGTAGTTCTGGCATAACTATTATGACTTCGAGACTAATCAAGTCAAGTAAGGTCATCTTTAACTTCTTTTTTAACCATAAATTAAACTTTATATTGACCAACTACCTTTGGCACCTAAGTTCTTTTCTCTGTACTTACAACTATATGAATATCTAAGTGTTTTGCATGAATTTCATGTGCTCCATTGGTGAAATTTGACTTGTCATTGTTGCGTGCTGAATAAAAGATGAGCACCAGTGGAGTTTCCAAATGCCTGGAGAACTTTCAGATGGTGGCAGAGTAGGGAAATAGCGAGGGGAAAGAAATCCGGAGGATTATCGCTTACCGGTGAACTGCAGCTGCTAATCACCCAATTTGGTTGCACGATTCAATCGGAATAAGAGCAGCAGCAGCAGGAGCAGTATAAAATGGAATAAAATGAGGGCGCAACTGCCATTCACGCAATTAACTAACTTGGCCCGAATGGCACTAAAGCTTTTATCTTATTATCCCGGCGAAATACCCAAAGCGTTGAACGCAGAAGAGAACGCAGAACGCTGACAAGCCAACACAAACAAATGAAGCCGGCAAGATGGCAAATAGTCAAAGGACCTCTGGAAAAACAGAAGGCAACCGAAAATGTCCGCAGGTCCTTCGACAGGAAGAAGGGGGAAAAAAAAAGAATCGAAAAAGGAAAACAAACCGCTTTCAGAGCGAGAAAAGCGCATTATGTCCCTATGTCTTCCCCTCTTTTCCTTCTTCTTCGGTTTTCCCCTTTTCATTTGCTATCTCTCTCCTGTGGCCGCTTTGTTATTTCGATTTTATTCTCTAACGATTTTCCGCCTTTGATTGCGCACCTTTTTCTAGTTTTTACTGCTCAGTTTTCACCTTTCCAGCGAGCCGAACCGACGGGGTTATAAATATGAGCAAACATTTCACAAGATATCCTTAATTAAAGCAATTTCCCTTTTCGGTGGTGGAAAGCGGGACGAAAGGACGTTGGCAAGACGGTTGCGTGTGCACCGGCTGGAATGAAATTTGCAAAAGGGACAGCCAAAAGGAAATAAGCTGCCTTGTCCTCGCCATAAAGGTGCGACCGAAAAACGCTGGGACAATGACCTGTTACGCACACTTACACGCTGCCACAGATACAGTCGCACACTCACACACTTACAGCCACAGCCACACCCACACCAACACACACACCCGTGCCCACGGGGCAAAAGGGTTAAGAGCGAATCTTCGTGTGGCCATTAACATGAAATTTTTAACAGGAGCCGCAAGCGGCAGCCTGAGTTGCCAGGGTTGCCAGGATTTCAGCGGGGTCACGTGACGGGCCATTGTTGCCGCACTCTCCTTATTACTCCATCTTCACCCACATATTTTGTGGGTGCCTTTTGTTGAATGTCTATTCTGGGGAGGTTTCAGTTTGGTCTTTAAGTTTGCTAATCGATTTAAAAAACTGTTGGAAAAAGAAGATATTTTTTTAGAAATATATCTGAAAAGTTTGCCTAATATTTTAAGTTTGGAAAATGATTAAATTAGGTGACTTAAAATACTTACCAAATGTCCTTACAAAATAATAAAGTAACATTTTCTTAAAGTTGTTGCTTCTCTAAAGTAATTCTTTCTTCCAACTATTATATAGCTTATGTTGTTTCCAAAAACACCGCTAAAACCCTTCAAACTACTCTAGACTTCGATCACTTCCTGGATTTCCCATTACTTGTCGTTGGATAAGAGACCCGCGAAGTAAGCTTTTGTCTCCTGGTCTGGATGCGGTTCCCTTTTTATTTTTAACCAGCAGTCAAAGGAGAAAGGCGGAGAAATTGAAGAGAAAGAGGGGGAGTGGCGACGCTTTGTTCGTAAGCCCCTCCACCGCCACATCCTCTTTCCATAGTTTCCCCTGGCTACCCCTTTGAGCACCGCCTTAATCCGGCGCGTATGTCCTTGCACAACATCCTTTGCATTGTTTGCGCTATAAATACACCATGCTGGAGGTGCGCAACGAGTAAAATACCAACAACAAGGACAACAGCAACAACAACAGCACTCCCACTCAACAACCCACGCACAATAACAACAGCAGCAGCGCAACAACTAACAACAACGGCTTATCCTTGGCGTCTTCGACGGCGTCGCACAGGATGTGCCGCTTATTTATCGCATTTTTATGTGAAATAAACGATTCGGAATTGGCTACGTAAAACATTAATTTTATTGTGGGGGAAATTGAGATTGCACAACGAAACAACAAGCCCCGAACAGAAGCAGCCAACTGCTTGGGCAACACCTTCAAAGTTTCCCTTGTCCTCAAATTGATTTGAGTTATTATTTTATCAACTACCCAAAATCAATAAAATTGGAAAATTAAAACACTGCTTATGCCACTGGATTGCATTTACAGATATTTTGATGATAAAATATATAATTCTACTTAAAACCAGGAAGAAGTTTAAATACTCAAAACACTTTATATATATCAAATTCTAAACCAAAAGTCCATGACAAAAGTGGATTTCACAGTGGCCCATGACTAATTGATTATCACTTAGAAAATAATAGAAATTATTCTACTTCAACCCATAGCGAAATTTTACTGTAGTTTGGATTTAGCTTAGCAGCAGGACAGTTGCGGAATGGATGAGGCGAGATTATTTTTCGTTTTAAGCTTAGTACTGACCTTAATAGGGCATGCACTTCAAGATGAGTCCATTTCTACAACACCAGCACCACCAGCAACAACAACAGACAGACAGAAAGCACCACCTGCTGCAGAAGCTACTAAGGAAAATGAAGACGAGGACTCAAATGCAGCTCCAGTGACCAAGTGCAAGCCCAACGAAATGCACTCGGAGAATGGTTGCGTTGATCGTGAATTTTTCCTAAACAAGATCATAACGAGATTTTGGAAAGATGAGGGCTTTGAAAAGGCAAAAGCCAGATCCGGAATAGTGGAAACCATGGAGTGCCAGGAAAACGAGGTCAGAACGCCGCTAGGCTGTGAAAAGCCACCGTATCCACCGCACAGGGCATCAAATCGAGTTCCAGTGGAGCACAGCAGAATAGAAATCAATCGCATTGTTCACGACAGTGCAGTTCATAAAATTCATCACCACGACAGTGAAGAAAAACAGAAAGCTATTCGGAAACCTGTACATTTAGGACCTCCAAGACATGGTGAAGATCGCCCAAGAAAGTACGTATTCCTGCCGGGAAGAAGTCTTAGGAAGGCTCGCAGGTGCCGAGCGAACGAGGTCCGTGGAAGCAGAAGTCGCTGCATCCGCAGGAGACGAAAACACCATCGGAAACCCCAAGGCGTAGAAAAAGAAACAAAAGTTGAATAAAACGGCATTTGAAAATCTTACAAAAAAATACAAATAAATTATTATTTTACGGTTAGTTTTCTAATTTTTTATTTTTTATATACTTTATGATAGAGCAGCTTCAATGCTTCAGTTTGTTTTTGGTACATAAAATAAACTTAATTAACCGAAACTAGCCAAGCAAGACAAATGAATTATTTAGTCTGCCACTTAATACGTTCCATCTGATTTCATTTTGATTTATTTTACTTTAGTCTTACACACCAAGATGCAAGCTAAGCGATGCTTTTTCGGGCTGATAATACTTTTCACATTTTTCGAGAGAGCTTTACAAGAAGATTCGAAGAATGGAGAACCTGAAAACCCAACAAAACCTACACCACTGGCAGCGACAAAAGAAGCCCCTTTAACCAATGAACCTGAAACTGACGCAGATGTAGTCCAAGGAACCAAGTGCAAGCCCAACGAAATGTTCTCAGAGCATGGTTGCGTTGATCGAGAATACTTCATGAACAAGATGATATTGAGATCATGGAAAGACTCGGGTTTCTCAAAGTCTAAGGCAAGAGCTGGCCTCGCGAATGACATAGAATGCAAGGAAAACGAAGTGAGAACCCCGATGGGCTGTGAAAATTCTCCGTTTCCTTTGCACAGGACATTAAATCGAGTCCGAGTGCACCACAGCAGTTTGAATCGCGACCGGGTGGTGTTCTCCAATGTCGGTTCAGGGCGAGGGGTCCATCAGGAACCCTCCAAGCATGGCAAGGAGAGGAATGTGCGGTACTTCGGTCCACCCATATCGGCTCATAATCGACCCCGTAAGAACTATATACTGCCGGGCAGATTGCTAGAAAGTGGACGCAAGTGCCGACCATATGAGGTCCTGGGCAAAGATGGACTATGTCATCATAGGAAGGGGAAAACGGGCAATTATGAGCATAAAAATCATGTTTATGGATTGCAACTGAGACACCGACATGAAGCACATAAAGACCAGCGATGAGTCTAATAAAAATCTTCTTTTTCAAAATTCTACTAAGAATCTTTAAACATTTTTTAAATTTCAACTTCTTCTTCTAAAAGGTTATTTCCTAAATACAAGCCAAGCTCGATTTCCTGTCCATGTTGTCAGCCAATAGGGATTACATTTCCTTTCCAACCCTCACATATGGCAGGACATTTAATGGTCCTTCACCATCGAGCCTTTGACAAATTTAATTTAATTTTATATTGTGTCGTTTTGTTTTACGACAACATCCTCTTTCTTGGGGCCCATTGAGAGCAAATTAGTTGCTTGCCTTAAGTCCGAGCCATTGACAAAGGATTAATCAAAACAAATGGATGAGTATGAGTCTCGTGTGTGTGTGTGTGTGTGTGTGACGGTGTTCGGCTGTGTTGGTCTGGGTATCCTTTAAGGATCACATTATGCTGAAAACATGGTTGGGGATTATGAATATAAAAGCATAATTAAATGGGATTTGCGCCTTTGGGTTGGCTTTTCTTTTCAATGGAGGCCACACTTTGAAATAGCTTCGGTGTGGCAATATGGATGGCTTTGACATGCTAATTAGTTAACCTTGCACGCGTGTGTGCGAGTGTGTGTGTGTGTGTGTGTGTGTTTGGGGCCACATTGCTCATACGCAGCGTTTGACAGACCCCAGGCGCGGCAGCTAAGTGGCTGCTGTTCGCTGCGGGCGGCGCCCAAAACATGATGAATAGTTTTGCAATAATTACATTACACGGCAGTTTCACGCTCGGCCCGCCCGAAAGAAAGTCACACGTGGCTGCCGCTTGATTCGAGTGGAAACTCCAGTGACTTTCCTTTACACCAAGAGAAAAAGTATAATTTTTATTGTTAGTTAAAGAAATGTTAAAACAAAAGTAACAAAGGCGTAGGGCAAAAAGTATCAACAGATCGTATATAAAATATTAATATACCTTCCATTTTATTTTTGGTCTTTCTGCTTACCAAAATAAACTTAATTTAATGTGTCAAAAATATTTTTTAAGATATTGCGATTATATTTAAAATCTAAAGCCAACCTCTATGTAAAACTTAGCCTCTTCAAAACCTATAGGTATAATATTTTGCCCCTGTGCTCAACTGCCACATGAATGGACACACTGATATGGTGATGGACGCGGCGAGACGGAGGGCATTAATCAAGTTCGGAGGTAATTAGCAATTAATAACGTTCTGCAAACTGTAAATTTATCGCCGCCTGCTCCGACTTAGGAATTTCCCATCATAAATTACGTTTTCCCGGCTTATGAATGAAGTGAAAAATGATCCGTTGGCCATCAAATGTCTCTCTGGCCATCGAAAGCGATTTCCGTTTTATTCCAGTTGACTTTTAGCCCATTTGGGGATTTGCTTTTGCGCTTTTGCCGGCTTATAGACTTGTCCTTTGCATTCACCATATGCAATATATATATTTGAAAAGCTTCTGATGCATTTGCATCTTGTCAAGAACTGGAAGTTAATATGATTGACGGCTTAATCGATGACTGCCTTAATTGCCGCCAAAGCAATTTGTTTGATTTCTTAGCTGGTAATGCCGGTAAGCTTGTAAGCTTGTAAGCTAATAAGAAAAATTACATATTGATACAGATTTAGGTGTTAAAATTAGAATTTCAATTATTATTTTTGGACTGGACTCAACAGCTCAATTGGTAGTTCATAGAAATTATGGGGCACCAATCTATTGAATGTCCCCAGAGTCGCCTTGGCCTTCTTGAAAGCATCCAGTTTTTCGGACTTCTTAATAATTTGATATAAGATGCCTCCGAGTTAGCCATCTTCCTATCGGCCTTTTCTTGTGACTTCAAGTCCAACTTTATGTTTCCTAGCTTAAGAAGCAAAAGTTCAATATCTTCCTCCTTCTTAGGATTGGGGTTATCCTCGATTGGGTTTATCCATTTTGTGTTTTGAATATATCCAATTAAGATTTTTACGTATAAAATGATGTGGAAATTAAATGGAATGCGATATAAAAGTATTAAAGACACACTTCAAATTGCGTTCTGGCTACCAATAAAATATAGACTTGGTCGTAATACCTTAAACCATTTAAGTCGCCTTCAGCCGGACAAGTGTCGGGCGAAATTTATGGTTTCGCTGCGAGAGCGACGCGTGAAATTGGCTTCTAATTGCCGGCGAATGAAATGTCACAGCCTTTGGCAGACTGAAACCTAGCAGAGTGTATATATACTCCTATATATATATATATGTTGGGATGATGGGGGAAAATCAAGCGAAACTCATTTCGATACACTTGAGTTGATTTGTTGGCGGGGCAGCAGCAATATACATTTCCATTTAAAATTAGACATGGATTTGGGGAAGTGGTTTGGCAAATCTTGTCATAAATTCCACAGCCAATTCGAATAAATCAGTGCAGTGATTAGTGGTCCGGTTCTCTTTTATTTATTAATGCATGCATAAAGAGTTTATTTATAGCCGTGCACCGAATCATTCATGTTGCAGCATTGCCACTTTCAATCGCATTTATTGGGGCACTCTTCAGTATTTGCTGGAATTTATGCGTCAGTGCACCTGGCGAAAAAAAAGGTCCAACATGCGGCACTCGAAAAGTGAAAAAAGTGTGGGAGTAGTAGGACACTGCACATGACAGTGTGGCACTCGTTTTATTTACACGACAAGTGGCAATTACAAAAATCCGCTGGCAGTCACTGCTCATTTCCCTGCAACTGGAGTGGCATTAAAATGTTGCCATTTCCATTCACATTTCCCATCGATACCTCTTCAGAACGAATCTCTATGTACATATATATACATATAAATCGGATTGCATACCTCTAAATTCGAAATGATATTCCTCTGGTAATTGCTTGGCTTTGATTTGTGCTCAATGAATATGGTTTTGGCATGCTATTGAAGATTTTGGGCCTTAATCGTTTGGCAGGCATATCTGTTTGGCCAGCTATTTGGCCAAATCCAATCAGCAGCAGATGCAGCCCCTTTTATTGCCTTATTGATGCAATTGTTTACATGTGTAATTAAGTTACCAGCCGGGTAAATGTGTTGATGATGTGAACAAATTTATTTCCCATAATATTTGCATGTGTTTAAGCCGAGTATTTCCCTCCCTTTTTTTTGTATTTTTACCATTATTGTTATTACTATGGCCGAGATTCGCAGGATACTGGACTTTGGCTCAGGCCGGTCGTAAATATTTATGCTTCTGCCGTATTGTTGGCCGAATTAAAACGGCAAACATGACACTCGAAAAAATAATAAAGCAATCAGTTAAACGCAGCAACTGTGTGAGGGGGCGGGTAATTATATAAATTGTTTGCCTTTGCCAGTGGAAAACTCCCTTTTCTGTCTGTCTTTCTGACTGACTGACTGAACAGTCAGTCTGTTTATTTATTTGCTCAGTCGGAATGTTTGCCAGTGCAATCAAATTTTATGTGCTTATAGTTGTGCTTAGCATTAAATTAAAATATGCAGCAATGTTTACAAGCGCCTCGGATGATGTCAATTGCGATAAAAACACGCTCGTAAACGCTACGTTACGCATACGCCATGTCATGCAGGGACCTCAACGACAACGTCGAAGTCGCCATTTTGCCTAGATGTTGTCAAACATGGCCAGACAAGGAGTGCCGGACAGGAACACCTCACTCATTGGCCTAACCACTGGCCGGGAGCTCGGGGGATCGAGTAACCTCACAACAGTGATGACAGGTTTATGTTCCTGAAATGAAAGAAAAGTCTTTGGTCATTCGGAAATGGGGTTTGTCTTACTTTTACTTTTTGGGTAAAGACAATTTCCTCGAAGGCTCGGCTTCAAAGTTAGCTATTCTGGCATATTTTTATGGCTACAAATAACCAAACTAGCAAAGATTACTTTTTCGAAAATGTCCAAGTTGTCATCTCTGTTTGATCCATACAGTCCGGCACTTGTTCCATTTTGTAGTTGGATTGCGGGCGTTTAAGAGCTCGTCTCACCATGGACACTCAGTCACATCGAAGCCCCGTCGCATGTTCCGGACTTCGGACTCCGGACGCCGTACTCCGTACTGCGTACCCGGTATTCCGTAGTGCGTACTCCGTGTTCCGTGTGGCTGTGCAGATAATGCTGATGATTTTGATGTTCGTGTCATTGTCGTTCGAAAGCGTTATGCGTGACGAAACGGAAGCTCTTAAAAGGCACAATGAATAAACGCTCGAAATGAGGCCAAAAGCCGCCCAAAAAAAAAAGAGAAGAAGGACCAGTGCGACTGGTGTCTGATTTCTGGCAGGCAGTGTCCTGCGGTTCGCCATGGCACATTAAGAAGGACTCTGGCTGTAAATTCTCCCTGTTTTATGCGCATTTCGTTACGCCCTGATGCCGCCGCCGCTGCTGCTCTTTCTTGGCCGGAAACTCCGGCTCCGACGACGACACCCGGCTTCCAAGGCAATCGCCACGCCCCGCAAATATTTCCGTAGGAAAACAAGCCGGTGGTTAGGGGAATCATTATTTTAATTAGATGCGAGTGTGCCCGGTCGGATGATGATGGTGCTGCATCAAAAGGATCGCGGGACAGCTGCTCCACATTATTTAATTGAATTAAACCAAAAACCACTGTCAAGTGCCGTACGCCCCGGAGTATAATGCATTTTTAATTTAGCCAAATGACAATTTTCCTATTGAAATTAATAAAGTTGAGTATTCGATATTTGTAAATTGGATACAACACTTTGATTTTAAATTAACTTATTTTGGGAAATAATCAAAAATAATTAGAAATTGTAGTTCCAAGTTTAAGTTTATGTTTGGAAAACATTTTCCTATAATTTTCTGTGATTCGTTAATAAAACCCTTTTCGTAAATAGATTTTCTACCATAAATTTCCGGCAGTGCAGCATTAGCATAATTTATAAGCATAAAATACACATATTGGCAGCATATTTTTTGGGGCAAACATTCCAGTTGGCAATTTGCTTAGCTGCCATTTAAATATCAATAATCCCTAGGCCCGTTGACCGTAGAGCCA